TAATAATAATAATAATAATAATAATAATAATAATAATAAGATTTTAAAGTCAAGCAAAAACTTACAAACTATGAGGAATTCTGAAAAAAGGAATCAATTTAAACTTTTGAAATCTACAAGCTTCCACAAAACAGAATAACAAACCTTCATGACTTCTTAAAAATTATAAAAAACAACATATTTTTAGTCAACAATTTACTGAAAATTCACTTTAAATCTCAAAGAAATAAAATAAAATAAATAAATAAACATAAAATTAGAGAACAGAGCAACAGAAACAAGAATGTGCAGAAGCAAATCAACTTCCCCATAAATAACTTGCTGCATCACCGCAGCTTTATTCTAAGAAACCACAATCAAGAAAGAATAATTAGCCGTTTCAAATTCAAAGAAGAATTTGAACAAGAATTAGAACAGCTTTCAGTCCATAAATGTCAGATGCATCAGATCGAATCCTCAGTCATGTCATCATAATCACCATAACTTTCATCTTCCATAGCTGGAAGGTTGAGATCTAGCGTGTCAAAAACAGAACTTACCTGTTCCATGTTAGCAATTACTGCAGCTGAAGCTTGAACAGCCTCAGCAGGAGCAGGAGCAGAAGCAGCGTTATCTGCTGCAACCAAGTGTGATCTCTTATGACCACCAAGAGCTTGACCAGATGCGAAAATCTTACCACAAATTGAGCACTCATAAAATTTGGATCCATGATTCTGAATTTTGAGTTCTTTGGTATCAAGAACTTCAGAAAAGGAAGGAACTTTGATCCTCATATGTCTTGCCCTGTGACCACCAAGAGCCTGGTAAGTCGGAAAGGTCCTGCCGCATGTTTTACAGTTATACCTGCTTTGCTTCTCAATCCCTGAAGCAACATAATGGAGATCCTTCCTACGAGAAGAGGCCTTTGACTTCCTCAGCTTGAGAGAAAATTCAGATACTGACGGAAAAGATTGAATTTTTTCGAGCTCGTTGATTCCAAAATCAAATTTTGGGACGGATGGAATCATTGCGAGCTCATTCATTTCAGAATCGCATTGTGGGAAACCTGAATTTGACTTGCGCTTCTCAACTTCATCGTCTGTAACCACTGAAGCCTTATCTGATGAATCTGTAACAGAACCAGCGCCTCTGGAGAGCATCATCAGACAAAAAGCACCCGCCGTTTGCTCAATCTCGTACGCTATTGATGAACCCAATGATCCGCTCCTCTCCATTGCATTAACTTCGCTATCAGACTGGGTCTCAATTCCATCTCCTCCCTCCTCATAACTTCCGTTACGATTTGAATTCATATTTTTTTCCTCAAAATCCTCATCCTCTTCCCTGAGCTGATCCCCTTCCGTCTCAGAATGAAATTTCGTATGGTTAAAAAGAGAACTCCAAGATCTGAATTTCTCCCCACACTTTGAACAGAGCATATCATTCTCATTCTCCATCAATTTCCATGTCTTCCTTGGATTCACTCTAAATCCATACCTGCTCATTGGCTCCTTATCAGAATTCGGAAGAAGATGAATCCTCATGTGTCCTCCGAGTGCTCTTCGAGTCGGGAAGCTTCGGCCACAAACATTGCAGCAGGGCCTACCCATCTTAGAAGAAAAAACACAGTCCGAAATTGAGAAAAGTGACCTGAACTCAAACTAGTCCCGAGATTCCGATGAAATTCTTCGTTTTCTATCGATCTGAAGAGAAAAAGCTTGGATTTTTGCGAGTTTCTTGGACAGCAAAGAAATCAGCGGTCGCTAAGTGCTTGCGCTGCTTTGCTTGTTGGCCTCAAGAGCCCGATCAGTATCCTTTTATTCTCAAATGGCTCTGATTTCTTAAAACAGATGACCGAAGTCCATGCAGAAAACTAAGGCTGGAAGAAAAAAACTGGTAGAAAGGCCAAAAAAAGGCTGCACGTGTACCCAAATAGAGAACACTTTGGTTGTGGAATGGACGGCTATGATTAAATCCAAAAACAATACTTTTACGTGCTCATAAATTTATGGCCGTACAGTGATATAGATAATAGGACTTTCTAAGTGAAAAATTTGAAACAGTAAAAACTATGAGTTCCAACCCAATTCAAATACTTTCATCTTGTCGATATATGTTGCAAGTTTTTATCAGTCTTTGACTAATCAGAAGTAATATTGCACTTGTTAGAGTTGTTGATGTGAATTTCACTAGGGGTGGCGAAATATGTTTGGGAAGTGGTGTTGAGTGGGCTGCTATGAAGTAGGACGGATAGTAGAGATCGAGTGCTAAAAAGTCAGATGCCAGCATTGTCACTAGCAGCGGTGATTGGGAGGTGGTGGAGGTGAGAGTGATGGCCTAACAATAACGTTCTTGGGGTGGCAACGACAGTGGTCATGGGGCAGTCACGGTGGTCTGTCTGCAACAATGGTAGAGGATAGACAATGGTGGTTTGTTGGTGACGATGGTATGACGATGATGGTGGAGATAGTTGTTGTGGCCAAACTATGGTGGTCAAGCAATGGTGGTCTGATGGCGATGATGGCTCAATGAATATGTTTGATGATGGCAGCGACGAGATGATGGTGGCCCTATGGTGGCGAAGGTAGACAACGGTGGTTCTGCAGCGGGGACTATGGTCTTGATGATGTGGTTAGACAACGATAATCTGATTGTGTTTGTTGCTAGACGACAATGGTCTCGTAGAATAGATGATGGTGGCGGCTAGTCGAAACGGTCTGACGGTGGTGGAGCTCACGAACCCTCAAGAGTTTGAAACTCCAGATTTCTCTTCCAAGAAAAATTACTAAGCATGGACTCCGCACATGCGTAATTTATTGTATTTTGGTTGTATATGTTCTATCTAGAGCTGTAAAATAAACTCATTGTTCGCGAACAGTTATTGCTCTGCTCGTTAAGTAGCTCGTGTTCGGCTCATTCGTTAAGTAAAGGAGCCAGAGACGAACAACCCTTTATTTGCTCGAACATTTATATAATAATATATCATATATATTTATATCTATATTTAAATCATAACAGCTCGTGTGGTCATAAGGGTTACATAGAATTTGTGCAGGATCAAATCCAACACCCTACATCTATTTTATTTAATAAATTTTAGCAAGCTAATTTCGAGTCAAACATGAGCTGAACACAAACAAAAATATTTAAATCGAGCCGAACAAGAAAACATTGTTCATGAGCCTAACACGAACACGAGCAATTTCTAATGAGCCGAACACAAGCTGGCTCAAGCTCAGCTCTTTTACAACCATAATTGTATCAATACAACCAATACAATAAAATCAGGATATGCGTACTCCACACCTGATAATTGCCCCTCTTCCAGGTTCAAGTTCTCTGCATGAAGAAAGTGAATGTCTATTCATAGATTTATGAGTGACACAGATTTATGAGTGACACACTCTAAAAATATTGCATGAATCTGAACCGTTCCATCGAACGACCCATAGTGTTTGATCGAATGATATTATATGAGGAGTTAAGTGTCTTGAAGGTGTCAAAATTGAGTGACCTTAAATTCATTGAATTCATCACATCAAGACATTCGATTTGACCATAAACGAATGGAAAATAGAGAGGCAATTGAGAAAAAGAAACAAGTAATTGCCAAACCTGAAAAAATTATTATATATGTATATGATTAATTTTTATTTGACATGAAAAATCTGGATATGACTAATTTTTATGTTATTTCAAGCTTAACAATGGTAGTATTTTTTATGCATCAGGTATTGGATAAGTAAATTCAAAAGAATTGTGGTATATATGAAAATGCTCCATCAAGATAATAACACTAATTTTTATGAACACTGGGATAGTAATTACGTATTACTCTAATCTACTTAAAACGTCCATAACAATTTTTCCTCTAACAACGAAATATTTATCCCTTCAAAAATAAAATTACAAAAAAATAAAAGAAAACATACAACAGAAAGAATATTTTAATTCCTCAGCAGATTCATGAATTATGATTGTCAGAAAGAGAAGGCAGGCCAGCATGGATTCGCCGGAAAAAAAATGGATGATGCGATTGATCCACCGCCATCAATTGCAAATGCAGTTCATTTTTTCAGCTTTGCAGATGAGTTCAAATTAGAATCAGCTGAAACCAGAACCATCTTTTCCTGAAGATCATCCCCTTCTCTTCGCCATCTGCCTTCAACACAGTTGATTTTTTTATGGATTTGAATCACCATTGCCATCATTATGCTCATAATCAGACGTAGAATGTGCTGAATTTCCATCCAAGGTTTGCAATGCTCTGTAATCTTCCTCCTCGTCAGTTCCGACGGGATGAGAGTCATCATTCTCGACCGGAAGTGACCCCAATACAGACTTCACTTCCTCTTCACCTTCATCGGGGAAATCCATATCGCCGCTTTCTCGCCACTCATCATCATCACTATCAACATTCGACCGGTCGAACCGGTTCTGATGGGCTCTTTTCCGGAGAATGAAGACATTAAAGTAGTAGCTGACCAACTCTTTGAAACTGGACGATGGGAAAGGCTTGCGGAGCATGACCCAGAAGTTTCTGCCTGCCGATTCGGGGTTCGATTGCACCACATCATAGAAAAGGTTCTCCTCCTCTTCAGTCCATCTTTGGGATACTGTCTCTCCCATGTGGGAAAATCCTAGTTGTATGAACTCTTCCTCACCCAGCTCTTTGATGAGCTTCTCCCTGGCTTCCGTCACATGTTTCCACACACATTTGATAGAACCTTCATCGGCGCAGTCGCAAACGATCTTAGGGTGACAGATTCGAGCTTCCGCAGCGATAGAGTCTGGGTCTGGCATAGGGCTGACGATGGTTCCCAGCCACTTATCGCTAGCTTCATCATGACTGGCATATGACATCATTAGATTGATTGAGGACGAGTTAGAATCTGGAGATGTAAAATTTGGAAGATCAGCTTGATGATCTGGTCCGATGGGGACATGTCTCCAATGGAAATGATCCGAAAACTGGAAAAAAACATCTTCCGGCGGATCGGATCGAGTTATTTGGTGATGAACTTCGCCTCCTGGATGTAAAGGAGAATCAGTCAGGTTGATCAAGCCTTGGTAGCCATTTCCTTTGTGTTGGATGTTAACCAAGGGAAGGTCAGATTACCTGCTTCGAAGCCTTTAACATTAGTATCCACAATGGCTGTTTGGTTTCTCCACTCTGCCTCCTCTGAAATAGGAAAATCATGATAAATATTAGAGGCATTCACATACATACCTCTTAATTCCTATGTATTTACATATCTAACATCTGAACTTTGCTTTTTACATTTATAGCGCCCAAATCTTTCATATCATATATAGAATATTATCAATTTAACTTTTAAAAAGTGAAGCACAACTTTTGATACAGATAATGTGGTAAGTGTGTAAAAGATGAAGTTTAGATGCTAGATATGTAAATACATAGGAATCGAATGGTATGCATGTAAAGCTTTCTAAATGTCAAATTTACATAATGCCACATGATGCTACTTGTTGCAATACCATGTTGGGGCATATATATGCATACCACAAAATTTTAGTGTATTTACATACCTAACACCTAAACTTTAATATTTACATTGATAGCACTCAAAACACTCACAAACCTCAAAAAAACCACTTGTACTAACTTTTTGAAGTAAAATGCATATTTTTAGGCATAATTTTTTAGCACAAAGTTGTTATGAATACAAATATTAAGTCTTACGTGTTAGATATGTAAATCCATAAAAATTGTCCGGTAGGTATGTAAATTTCTGTACTATGTTTTAACTATCCATGGACTGACTTCTTTTAGAGATCTACCTGGATGTTTTCCCTCAGGGGGGATGCTGACGAAAGAGTTTCCATCTGAGTGTTCCAACTTTGCCTCTTGATCCTCTTGTCTGGCTCGCTTATTCGCCATTTCATCACAAAAATGGATCGACGGCCGTTTGCCATTCTCGATGACTGCAGTTCCCAAGGAGCTTTCGGAGGCAATTGAAGGGTTAAGGGTGCAGTCAAGCACACTTGCAGTAAACACACTGGATATGTCATCAGTTCTCACCCTGAACCCCAAGTCAGCCCCGCTGTCAAAACAATCCTGTTCTCCATCTTCACACACACACACACACGCAGAGACACGCACAAAACCTAAATTCAGACACAAAACTTTACATCACAAAAAAATAAAAAAAGAAGAAATTATACTTCGTTTACCTGCCAATTGCTGTTTCCCAGAAACAAACTTAAACGAAGGAACTTCTGTTGATGAGCGAAAATGGCCGGCACACTCCAATTGCCGTAGGTGTTCGTGGGAAAGCTGGTATGAGTCGTCAGTAACACAAGGCTGCCTGTTGTACATCTTCAATCTGGGAAAGAAAGAATAGAGCGTATCCTTTCAAACAATGATAGAACCCATAGAAAAAAATCTCATAAGAGCAATAAATGTGATGTATAAAAAGTTTATAAAAACTCCATTTGGCGCAAGAAAGAAAAGATTTTTTACTAAATTGATTAAATATGACCATCAACGAGTGCTCTGGGTATGAAATTAAAAGACATTGTATAGTTCTTATGATTTGTATGTATGCCACAGCTTCTGCAGCCGAAATGAGCAACGATAAAGAACACTAACACAAAACCTTAGCTAAAGTGGCTTCCAATGCACATAAGAACCATTTGAACGACCAAAATGTCAAAAAGCATTTCAATTTAGCTGTGATATTAATCAAATAAAAATAGGGAAATTTACATATGTAGCACATGATTTTTAGGTATTTACATGTCTCAAACCTAAACTTTCATATTTACATACATAAACTAGGCCAGTACATAAGGTTGGCAAATGATCAACCTCAATTAACATTTTAGTTAGTTCCATATTTAAATTTAAATACACAAAAAATCAAACATTAACATCATCAATTTAAGATTTAAATTTCAAGAAACTTAATTGTGTAGTCCCTCTCCACAATCACGTCTGCATGAAGAGAGATTGCATGCAAACAACACATTAAAATTATGGGTGAATCGTATTTGGACTGCAAAATTAGTCAAACAACGAGCACGTGAGAGCAATTCAGCCCTTGCGACACCTTTAAAACTTTTGTATGCAAATCTTCACCCCTTCCCTTTGTTTCCTCCTCTACCAATAATTTGTTAATGCATGATGCCACAAACTAACAACTTAGATGAAAACCAACACATGACTTCAACTTCCAATTCTTTCAAAGTAGAAAAATTAAAAGTAAGAATTTTTAACTTCCAAATAAATAACTAAACTTTCTTAGAAACAGCTTCTCCAACATCAGATCGTAAAAGTAGAAAGGGTCACCCTCTCCAACGAACAATCAACCAACTACATCCTAAGCTCACATGCACTGTCCCATCATATTTATCTTCATACTAATAGAAAAACAGGATCATTCAGAATACACATAACTAACATCAAATCGTCCAGCTATAGTAGAAAAGATAATCCCACCAACAGCATTTTACTTTGTTAAGTTTTCCCATGCGTTAAATCCCCAATGGACTTTACAAAGACAAACCAATGCCAAATTAAAGTGTTAAATATTTTTCATGTGTGAATCCAAATAATTTTTTGTTGTTTTCTCATACTACTAAGCCTTGTTAGTAGTATTACAAGCTCTATTAAGCATCACTTGAATGTGCTGAAGCATGTTTTGGTAAAAAATTCAAACAAGGGATGAATTATTATCCAAATTATTGGGGGTCAACTTACGAAATATGAATACTTAGTTTTACATGAATTTTAATACTAGTTGTCAACCTAACACCAGTTTTAAAGCTTTCACAACCAAGCTAGGGGAAAATGATGGCATAAGTTCTAACATCAGTTGTCAACCATAAAAGGACGCATGTACATTTACGCCTTATCCTAGCCTCATATGAACCATTTAGATTCAATTAATTAAACCTACAGCCCCATTCCTATTGAGTGGTATAAGACATAATAACCCATATTTATAATTTTTTATAAAGCAATTTCCTGCCATGCTATCTTAAGTCAATTTTTTAGCTCCTAATCCCTTTAGCAGTAAATCCATCTACTGTGCTCAAATCTGATGGAGTGAAAACACCATCCAATCACATCATAACAAGATTATCTTTTCCCCATAAACACCAATACATGACTTGCAATGCAAAATATCCTATGCTGCTCTTCTCGCTAAAACAATGTACACTCGTGTGCAATAATGTCTGCAGGGAACCATAAGAGGATGATGGATTTGCTAACTATGTAATTTTAAGTTATTTTATTTGCATAAGTCAACTGCCATGTTCACTATAATTTTCAAAAAAAAATTTCATTAATAATATTTAAGTTTTATTTTATGACATCTAAAGGTCAATTCTACTGCAGCTGGATGTCATGCTACTTGATGGCTAAAATAACAGGCAACAAAAAGAAAATCAAAATAAAAATTAATCTTCTGAAACACATTAATTTTTTGAGTGATATGACATTAATTTAAAAACATTGTATTAGTAAATAAAAATGTTACATGAATTATAAATAATAATGTTAGGAAGATAATGCTACCATCCACGCAATAATGAACCTAACAACACCTAAAATGATTATCCATCATTTCATAGACATTATAATTAAAATATAAATGTCTCCTTTGCAACTGGTGCGAGGAATTGCCCTCATGTAGCAGCCTATGAAAAAGTTACAGTTGATGTGACAAATATTTATGAGGCAATTAAATACATAGCACTCAAAACTTAGCTATTTATAAAAGTAGCACCCCCTTTCATCCATTTTCAAATTCTTACTAATATATAAAATTCACAACAAAACACCAACCCATATTTTTCAATTTTATCAAATTATCAATGGCTAGATCATGACGCGTGTAAATACAATAATTTGGTAGTTAAAAAAATACATGTGAGCTTGTTTTGTTAAAAAAAACAACAAAATTTCAATTGATATGCATATAATTATCCCAATATTCTTCTTTATTGCTTAATAAGATAAAAGTCCCCTACAAAAGTAACCTCCAAAAAATTTAATATTATTGCATCAAATGTAAATTTGTTAAGATTAACACATAAAATGGATAATAGCATGTCAAAATCATAATTTAGCAATGCCATTTTATAATCCAAAAATTATGGCTATTTCTTGCATACTCCTCATAACAACTTTTGTTGGGAGTGTCAAGCATCCTCTTTGTAAAAGCATATCTACTATTCGGTGATATTTTATTTTCATTCATTACCATCAATGTTTAAAAAAACGAAATCGAGAACCAAAATATTTTGCCTCAGCGAGGCGAGGTGTAGCCCTTACACCTCAAGAATGAAGAAAAAATTTGTGAAATTAAAAATAATTCATAAATATGACATACGCCATTGATATTTGATTTAATTTATTATCATAAATACATAAATCACAAATTTTAATGTTAAATATTGATATAAAATAGAAGTTTGAAAAGTGATTAAAGATAAACATTCACTTAAAATTTAAATAATCCATGAGTCAAAATTCATAACATATGACATACGCCATTGATATTTGATTTAATTTATTATCATAAATACATAAATCACAAATCTTAATGTTAAAAATTGATATAAAATAGAAGTTTGAAAAGTGATTAAATATAAACATTCACTTAAAATTTAAATAATCCATGAGAGTCAAAATTCATAACAGCCTCATCCTTATTTTCATCATCTTTAAGAGAATCGTCATAATCATATAATTCTATCTCATTTGCATTTTTTAAATATTATTTATTTACTATAATTTTCTTCTTAATATCATTTAATTCAAAATTCAATATAATTTAAAAGAAAAGTATAAACTAATAATATAATCAAGTAATCATGCTTAAATTATCTTTTGACATTTTTTAAGCATTGTATCAAATATATAAAATGAAGGATAATATTTTTTCTTTGCATAGCTTGATCGAAGCGCTGCCTCAAACGCCTCGAGACCTAAAACCTCGAGGTGACACCTCAAAGGAAAGAGGTGTAAGCCTCGAGACATTTTTTTAGCACCTTAATTCGAGTAGAGCCTCGAGGAGCGAGTCTCAAGACGCAAGCCTTGGAAGTAATCATAAACAATGATTCTCATTATGTATTTTGTTGTTTTTTAAGAGATTGAAATTTGACAAAGTAATAAAATGTGATTTTTCTTCTTGCAACAAAAAGCCTAATCATTGCATAGTTTATTTTGATAGCATATTTCTACAAAACCTTAGTTTTAAGAAAATCTTTAAATCATTATTTGTGCCAAATTTTAGATATTTTATAATTTATATCAAAACAAGCAACGTTGTGCTATGATGCATTGTGAATTCAATCCTTCATATGCTCTGCATCATAGTGCATACTTAAAAATAAGACATTGCTTTCAATATAAATAAAAGGAATCACAAACCTAAAGGATGAGACTCCTACATTTAAAGGATATCGAAGGCATAAATCATTGGGACATATTATCTACATCTCTTATGATAGTATCCTATTTTCCAATTATTGATGACTCATTTATAATTCTTTATGTTTAATGGCTAAAATGAACAAATCTATAACTACAAATTTTTCATCATCGTTTCTTTTTTATAAAATAGAAATATGTCTAGTTCAACATTGAAATGTCTTATGTTAAACACCGTAAAAGACCTGATAGGCGTGTGTATTTGCGCAAAAAATAAATCATCACACATACACATCATCAAGTTTTTATAATGGAGGGCATGATATCTTGTATGTATTGGAATACTTTATTAGTAAACTGTATGAGTAAAACTAGAAAATCAAAAATCTTCCATGTGTCACCTAATCATCAAAGTATTGTTCACATAAGGTAAAAATACACACGTACGTAAGTATAACCTGAACTAAGAAAATTAACATGAAGTCACAAGAATCTATGATCACCTATATGAAAGGCATTCCATTCTGGTCTGGACAACTAAACTACGTTTTATGCTTCCCATCTCTTCTTTCGTAGAAAATTGTTAGATTTCCAGAATTACACCTTCTCAATCTGAAAAACAAAGAAAAAAGGTAAGGCACCCTCTTGCCTACGAGACAAGCCTAGCATTACTACCAGCTCACCCTAAAGTATGAAACTAAAGAGTCAAAGTCACTTTTCTGCTTTTATAGCTGGGTCATGGAATAAAATGCCCCAAGAATCCTCCCACTATGATGAAGCATGGGCGTAATAGGAGCCTTGCGTCTATTATTTGGGGCATTTACATACCGCCCAATTCCTATGTATTTACATATACAACACCAAAACATTACTTTTTACATTTATGCCACCCAAATCTTTCATATGACATAAAAAATACCACCATTTTAATTTTTAAAATGTGAAATACACCTTCCCGCCTAGGTAAGGTGGCCCATTTGTAACATGCATAGGTAAGGCGGCACGTATGTAAAAATTGACGTTTCACTGTTAAATATGTAAATACATAAAAATTGTGTGCCATGTATGTAAATCTCCCTTAATTTTTTGCATTCTAACCGCCAGATCCTAGAGGCATGGGTGTACTAGCTGTCCCAGGTTCAGTATGCTGAGATCAAAATGACATAATATTTAAAATTTCTTTACATGCATCCGCGCACACACATAAACAGAGCACCGATTATATCCAGTCAAGATTGATGGAAAATCAATAATGACGTTGAAGTACGTACTTTATTCATGTGTTATTTGCTTTCCATTGTATCTATGGACTTGTCGAAAGTAAATGATAGCTAAAGAACTTACAATTCCTGAACTTATGCTAAATTCAGTTAATATAAACAAAAAATTGTTCAATAAACTTTACAGTCGGCAGTTAAAGAAGCTCTCACAATCTTTGCTAAAGACATATTTGTTATAATTAGGGCATTTACATACTTACCATCTAATTTCATGTATTTACATATCTAACAAAAAAACTTTACTTTTCACATTGATACCACCCAAATCTTTCATATAGCATCAAAAATACCACCATTTTAACTTTTAAAAGGTGAAATGCACATTTGCATGCCGCACAAGTAAAGGTTGAAGTTTAGATGTTAGATATGTAAATACATAGGAATTAATGGTATGCGTGTAAATCTTCTTTGTAGAGTGTGTGTTAGCGCAGGTGTGTGGTTAATAAAATAAGATACTTTGCCAATGATAATCATACTAAGATGACATTGATGACACATAAATTTAAGAAAAAAATAACATCAAAGTTTACTTAATTGCTATTTACCTCTCAATAGCTGATCCAAAGGAATGCCCGAAGAAAATACGAGCTCCAATCCACCAGTAGTTGCATAAATTTCAGAATTTGTTATATCGGGGACGGCGGGCACAAGAATATGAAGGTAAATAAGAGCACTTAATCACTTCGAGAACTCTATAAACAAAACAATTATAAAACAAGGAATACTGAAGCCTTCAATTTGAAGGATCGTTCGGTACAAATCAAAATCTGGAAGCCGGCGGATCAAACAATTCCTATAAATAAAATCTTCATACGGATCTAAGGCTCGAACCCCCAAACAAATAATCGATTTAGCCCCAGCTAAAAAGTATTATGATCAATCAACAAAAAAACAAACAAATTCAGCTTGCAAATCTAGATCTACAGATATGGAAACAGGAATCACGGACAATAATTTTCAAAACAGCAGAGCAAGGCTGACGAACATAACAAGAACCGGTAACAATCAAAACGGGATAGATAACGAAATCGGACGCGATGCGCCTTCGAATCGAGGATCTAGGGCACGAACCGACCGCAATCGAGATTGGATCGAGATCTCAATTTTGGCACGGAAAAGACCAAAAGGGGCAAAAGGCTGGGGCTATGCTTTCAACTTCAATTATTATTTATAAAGCGATAATTCGGATTGAACTCAGCTAAATGACCGTAATACCCCCATGAATTTTTAAATGGCAACTAAGGCTTCAAATCATATAGTTACTTACAGGTACGATTTGCGTTCGGATACAGAGGGAAATAAGATTGATCCAAGGCTAATTTGGGGGAATGAAAAAGGCAAATCGAAGTTTGATTGGTGTTTCTTAAATCTGTGGATCATTAGTCATGAACGGTCAGGATCTCATTGCTTTCGATTGTTTTGTAGTTCAAAAGGGCTGTTTGGTAAAATCTGCAGTTGTAAATTTCCCACAAAATTAATAATTTGGCATTAAGTGATAAACTAGCTTATGAGAAAAAAATAGTAACAACTTCCTGTGATTAGAAAAAATATTGAGTTCGGAGTCCGAAGCAGCGTTTAGGCAACGGACGTGATTCACCAGATCAGCGGAAGAGAAAAAAAAAACATCGCTCGGTGCATCGCATCCGTTGTCCGAATGTTGCTTGTGTCCAGACTCCAGACGCAATATTCCTCTCCTGTTATTGAGTGTTGAACTCAATTTACAACATGTTACTTTTTTTTAAAATTATTTATTATATATTACAGTGTTATTTATTATTATTATTATTATTATTATTATTATTATTATTATTATTATGGCATAGTATTACTCTTAGTATGATAGGTAATATTGATATGATTTATTGTGGATACTGTCTTGATTGTCTTTTATCTCCTTGACATCGCATATAGGATACATTGCAATGTATAATGCCTCACTTCATCATATCAAAGAGAGATTTTATTAATTATCTCCATCACATTGATGAACTCTTCATGCATTGCATTGTCGCAGGGGTTCATTGCCACTATCGAGCTAATGAAACATATATTATAGGTTTAGCATCATAACATGGATTATGTGCCATGAGCTATAAAATTGGACTTGGCAACAAATGTTTGATGACATGTCATCGAAACACAATCTTAAGAGGTATCTTTATGTACATTATATTAATGTCGTAATCATATTTTATATTGTACATGAAATATGTGGTTATGAGATGGTGAGAGCACATGAACTTCCATGTGTTGTTTGTTTTAAATATAGATAACACTCGCTTGATTCAGATTACGTGCCATGAGCGATAAAATAGGACTTTACAACAAATGTTTGATGACATGTGATGGAGACGCAATCTTAAGAGGTATCTTTAAGTACATTCGTAATCGTATTTTATATTGTCATGAAATATGCGGTTATGAGATAGTGAGAGCGCATGAACTTCCATGTGTTGTTCGCTTTAAATATAGATAACACTTGCTTGATTCAAATGGTTCGAGCTTAAAGGGTGGTCGCTTAGATTGAGGGGGCCAAACTCATAAGGCACTGGTCCAATTCATGTGAAATTTAAGAAACTTTGTTGGGCGGCAAGATCTTAGAGGAATTGTCAAAGTCACTAGATTGCTTATCTTGTGGTTATTTTATTGATGTGTCTTTAATAAATGTCAAGTGTTTATTCATCAAATTCATATATAACATTTTTTATATCGGTAAAAATTCTTCTAAATAAAATATTAAACGGCTCATTCAAGCCACGAGACACACCAGTACACATTAGGCAATACTCTAGAATTTTTCCGTGAAACACTAAAATCTTCTGAACATATTTATCTTTCCTTATTTTAATTTTATTCCACCTTATCTAAAGCCCAACCAAAAGCCAAGTGGGTTATATAAACAGGGTCAGGACATTGTCGAAAAAAAAATTCCATTCAACATCTTATTAAGTGCAACTAGCTTGATTTGATGTTAATGACAATCAAGAGAATCTTAGTATCTTTAAAGAGAAATATCATTTAACATGGACAATAAGAAGTTCACAACCAATATCAAACTTCTTAGTGTTGGAAATTTTTTTTCATGTCACGAGTGTAGGGAGTTTACCTGCACAACTCGAGATAGTTTATGGTTCACCCGCATCATAGCTTAAGACACCCATCCAAAACTCTCTAACACTTGTCTGGGGCAAAAAGCTAGGGTGGTGGTGATTTAACATTACCCGAAAAACCGGTTGTTGGAAGGTCTAATTCAGGACGCGGGACATATTTGGTACCCATTATGGTGTTTAGAAGTCATTGCATGATCGCATGGAGCCTCCTGTGGCCAAGGGAAGTGACAAAGTCCTAGGAGCTGCGTTAAAGTTAGGGTTCGGGACGCCCTACCCTCGCTAGCGACAAATTTTTCCGTGAATAACTGATCAAAATACCTAAATTTAAAGATATGGGACTGCATATCACTACTCCCTTAGCTGACAGATCGAGAAATTTCTTCGTCAAACACTCTCAATGTTTCGGAGCTAGACGCTGAATATGCCTTCCCAAAATTTTAAAATCGAGCCCCTATAAGTCTAACACCAGTCTCGGATGCCTACGCACCCAAAACAGCTCGAAAACAACTATTTTCTCGAGAGATGGAAAATTAAGCGTCACGGGTCCGTGGTAACCTGCCGAAAACCCGCAGAACCGCTAGTTTACCGCCATTGATTGGTTTTAAAGTGAAAAATGGGAACTAGGCTCACCAGGATGCTTCCTACTGGGGCAAGTTGTCATTCCATGCATTAAGTTCGGGGAATATCTCCTCGAGTGGGGACCTTCAGCGAGTTCAAACTCGATTAATGCAAAGTTTAGTCTGGGAGAGCTCGGGGAGCTGTGTGTTGCCTCGCCAAAGCCTCCTTCTTGAAGAAAGCCTCCTCATTTCCAGGAGGAGAAGCTTTGTCGGAGCTCGAGAGGTCTCTGGATTCCCCTCTTGGAGGAGAGCTTCTTTTTACTTGGGAAAAGGGTTACACCGGAGCTCGGGAGTTCGCCATATTCTCCTTCTTGAGGAGAGCTTCCTCATGATTTGGGGAAGAACCTTGGCGACTCCTACTGTTGGGACACCATTTGACGTCCAACAACCACCGTGGCGGTAAGATTCTTCCAAATCTCGCATTTTTCTTCATAGAGCCCCTATGTCTGGTTGTTATATGATTAAGGACTTATATTTTGAGTACTTAGAGGTAGCCGATAGGTTAGGGAGCCTTTCATGGGCTTTCTCATAAGAATCAAAGCATTTTTCCTAAAACCTTAGCACCAAAATCCTGTAATAAACGAGATTGTGTCAATTTCATCGTTTGTTCATTGGTTTCACTTAGATGGACAAGTGAAATCGAAGAATTGGGAGGATAAAGACGCCCATTTGGTCTTCATCGGCTCAATCACGAAGAATTCCCCTCGTTGATAAATCATTTGCTCTATGTAGAGCGAATGGGTGGTCACTTTGCTACGCGCAAAATGACATTGAGACCTCTTCCATCATTTAAACCTAGTTCCTACATGAGATTGATAGGATGAGTTTGACTTGTCATTGAGTATCATGGGTTCATTTGCTTGCATGCTTTCCGCTACATTTCATGTGTTTGACATTTGTGCATGTAGCATTTTTTGTGTCTTTTTGTGTCATTTCGTTTATCTAATGTTGATTATGTGCATATTGTATGATTGATCGCGTGATCATTTTGGGTTCGATCGATCGTCCCGTGTTGATCACCTTCTTTGGGTGTGATTGGTTGTCACATGCCGATCACCCGATCATTTGGGTTTAATCGACCGACCCGTGTCGATTACCTTCTTTAGGTTCGATCGGCCGTACCGACCCGATCGACCTATTTTTCAGCTCAATCACCCCTCTGGTCGTGATCCACTAACAAAATATCATTCAACACAGAGAGATCTCAA